CATGCTCATGAGGGACCTGTGACATTCCTCCAGGGCCTGGGGCGCTGCCGTGGCCCTGCCTCTGCCCCTCTCCGCAGGAAGGCGCAGCTGTCCAGGGGCGGTTGGTGCTCTCTGCTGACCCCAGCGTGGCCCTCGTGACCTCCAAGGCCCGGGGTGGGGGTGACGCGGTGGTCGGGAGCCTTGTCATGTTTCCTGCCCTTGATTTGTTTTTCTGGAGTCCACCAGGCCTGGGGACGGGGATGTGTGTTTTCTTCTCTGGTCCAGGACCCTGCGGCGGGGTCCTCTGGGGACCGGTGTCCCCTCTGGCCTCCGGCAGCCCGTGTCTGAACCCAGCTGTGGACTCTTACGCCTCTGCTCCCCTGGAGACGGGGTGCTGCCCTGCTGGGCTCGCTGCCCCAGCACACCCTTCCAGGGCTTGGGGACACTGACCTGTCCTTGTCGTATCTGTCACCCGGAGTGGGACAGCAGTGGCCGAGCGTGGGTCAGGAACGCTGGCTGCGCTCCTTAAGGTGGTCACTCCGCCTCCGTGTTCCTTCTGGTCTCTGGGGACACCACCCCATCTTGCCTCCCTCCTGGATGGTTGTGAGGACTTGTCGCCTGAGCCACCGGGCAGTGCCACTCGGTGCTTATCAGGTCTCCGCGTTGCCACGGCGCCCTCCAGAGTCGACCGTGTCTGCCCAGCCCTCTGCCCTGGGACTCCCCCTCGCAGGACCCTCGCCCTGCCCAGCACAGGGACCCCCACTGTGGCATAGTAAGATCTGCTTGTTCCATGGCCATGGTCGTATTTTCTATTCTAAAGGAGTTCACATCAGGTTTTAGACCAGAGCGCAGAGGCTGTGTGTTTAGGGCGGGGGACACTCTGGGACAGCCTTTTGGAACTAGAGAGACTGCCCCACACATCCTCTGTTGGCTGGGAGCAGGCTTTGGATGCAGGAGCTGTTTTAAGAAACTCCATGTTCAAGAAGACCAGGCCCAGCAGCCCACGCCTGTCATCCCAGGGGCTCAGGAGGCTGAGGCAGGAGGATCGCAAGATGGAGGCCAGCCTCAGCCACTTAGTCAGACCCTAAAGCAACTCAGCGAGACCCTGTCTCAAAAACGAAAAAGGGCTGGGGACGTGGCTCAGTGGTTAGGCACCCCTGGGTTCAACCACACACAGAAAAAGACATGAAAGCGGGACTCACTCCTTCCTGCTGTTCATGTGCCCTGTTCCGGGGAACTCTGCCCGGCAGGTTTGGTTGGTGCCACAGCCGAGACAGACCCATGGAGCCGCCCTGGGCCATCCTGGAGCCCTGGGGCAGGGTCCCCGGCTGGGCTCCCCGGGTGCTGGCCTCATCTCGTCCTGCACGTTGAGCAGCGCCCACTAGGTGGCAGTCGTGGGCCACTTGTTGGCTGGGCCGTGGACTGGGAGCTGCCTCGTGGGGTGGGGGACCCCTCCCTGCTCCCCCCAGGCCCCAACCGGGAACTTTAGTGACTGCTGAGTCCTGTCCAGGGCTGAAAGGCCCTTTCTCCTGCTGACCCGCCCCCTCCCAACCTTGTGTTGGTTTTGGCCTTTGCTGACCTCCCTTGGTGGCCTGCCCGGGGGCCAGTGCAGACCAGGGCTGGGTGCTGCCCCCAGGGACGGGCATCTGGCTCTGCTCCCCTCAGCCCCCGACTGGGGGCAGGCTCCTCTTCTCTGTCCTCGTCCTCATCCTCGTGCAGATGGCTGCTGAGGGCTTGGCCAGGGTCCAGGAACAGGAGAGGAGGCGCGAGAGTGGGGGTTCCTGATGGACGGGGCTGGGACAGCCGGCCCTCCGTCACTGGACCTGGGAAGGCCATAGCTTTCCCACGCCATCAGGGCTTCCCTGGCTGCTCCCCCGACAGCTGGGAGGGAGGCGGGTCCCTGTGTAGCCCTTCCCTCGGGGGCTGGTGGCCCTCTCCAGGTGCCTTTTCCTCAGCCACCTCTGGCACGACACACAGATTTGACCTTCTCGTGGCCAAGGAGCTGCCACGGTCTTGGCAGCCTGGGGGACTTGTTTTTTTCAAGGCCCAGAGAAGGGACACGGAGCCATCAGCAGACGCAGCCGTGACATGGGCTTTCACGCGTGGCCAGTAGCTGCGCTGGCAGCCTCGGGCGACCCTTGCTCATTGCTCTTCCTGCGTGATGGCCTGTGGGAAGGGGCTTCTCTGAGACTCTGCTCAGCCTCGTGGGGCCCTGGGCCTAGGCCAGTGGCCCTGGAAGTTGGTGTCCCCCGAGGCAGGCCAGCAGGGCAGCCTGGAGAATCGAGCTGCCCTTCCCAAGGGGCTGGGGGGCGGGGCAGCTGGCCTTGATCCTTTGAAAAAACCCAACTTTGAGGAGTGGACAAGTTCCAGGTCACATTAGACCACCCACGAGCTTCCTCCCAGAGACCCCAGCCGCGGGGACGGCCGTGTGGCCCTGCTCTGTGACATTTGGTCTGCAGGTGGACCTTGGCCATGTCACAGCACTCCAGGCTCCAGTTCTCTGAATCACAATCTGACACAGATCGTGTGCCATTTTTAGGTGTCTCTGGACGTCCCATTTCTCCCTGTGTCCCCTGGGACGGGCTGTTGGCAGGCCACAGGGCACACGTCTCTGGAGCCCCGTCGGTGCCCGTCAGCTCCGGCCCTTGGCTCGCGTTCATTCCCTCAGCGCTCGGCTCTCGCTGGCTGGGAAGGGAGGCAGCCTGTCCAGGAACCTGCCTCCTGGCGGTCCCTGCCCAGAGCAGCCTGCTCCCAACAGCCCGGCTGCCACAGTGACACCCTCCACGCCCACCCTCCTTGGTTTTCCTGGGAGATTGATTTCTGCCAGTGGAGCTGCTGCTGGGAACCCTGATGTCTCTCTCCTGGGGACCTCCTACCTCCAGATGGGCCACCAGAGTCCACCCACCGCCGTTTGGGAAGGACATTTAGGAGCCCTGGAGGGGAACTGGTAGGCCCTTCAGCGGCTTGGGTGTGGTGGCCATCCCCAGGAGCCGTCCCCAGGTTGAGAAGCTGGCCAGCAGACAGGAAGATGGCCATGGGAGGGAGGGAGGCCGCTGTCAGTCTTCCTGGTTGGCATCTTCTCAGTGGAGGGGACAAGCTGTGTGTGAATGGGAGACGGGGTGAGCAGGAATTAGAAGCCAGGCGCAGTGACCCACGCCTGTCATCCCAGCGGCTCGGGAGGCTGAGGCAGGAGGATGGCAAGGTGGAGGCCAGCCTCTGCAATTCAGCAAAGCTCTAAGCATCTCAGTGAGACCTGTCTCTAAATAAAATACAACACAGGGCTGGGGATGGGGCTCAGGGGTGGCGTGCCCCTGAGTTCCATCCCTAGTACCCCCCCGGCCAAAGTCATTGAAGCTGAGACCCCCCCTCCTCCCTGCTCTGCACAGGGCCGCCTGGATGGTGAGCTGCAGATCTGTGCTCAGGGGGAGGAGACGCACACTCACAGACCTTCAGAGCTGGGAGCCCGTCCCTCGCTCAGCCCTGCCACCAGGCAACGCAGCCGGAGGCCCAGGTGGAGTGAGGGGTCTCACCAGGAACCCCAGCAATCGCCCTGGCCTGCGAGTCCCCGGGCATCTCTCTCTCGAGGCCCTGGGTTGGTATCCCTGGCCGAAGGGTCACCTTTGAGGGCCCTGGGGCAAAACAGGCACCGGAAGCCTCTCTGCCTCCATTCCTGAGGCCCTGTGGCTGCCTCGCGCTCCGCAGGGATTCTGCACGAGGCCTGTCTGTGAGCCGCCCTGGCTCTGTCTTTGGCAGCGCCACTATCCGGGCGTGACAGGTGGGCACAACTGTCTCATTAAAGGCAGATGGATCTGTGTGGCTTTCCAAAGCATGGATCATTCCATTAGTCTCAAAAAAGACTGCCGGTGGCCCCTTTTGTTCATAAACTCGGGGTGTCAGGAGTTGTTGTCATGAAATTTATGAAATGGTAATGAAGCCATTGCTTGTCCTTATTGTGGACGCCCAGGTGTTCGCGGCTCTGTGTGTGCGTGTGCGCTCGTGCGTGTGCGCGTGTAGGCACAGCCCTTCTTTCTGCCTGATCCTAGGTGCCATGGTTTGCCCACTGGATCCTCACAGTGACCCTGTTAGCCAGGGCCGATGTCACAAGCGCTTTGCAGGTGACTCTCCACACTGGAGAGTCTGGCGGACCTGCAGCTGGAACCTGGGACACAGCTGCCCACCACGGTCACGGTCAGATCCCCAGGCAGCCCTGTCCCCCCCCCCACCTCAGGCATTAGAGTCCGGGGACGGGGCTGGGGAGGGAAGGAGAAGCCTCTAGGGATCCTGTTAAATATGCCCACTGCTGAGCATCAGTCGTTTCTGTAGAAGGAGAAAGATGACATATGACACATTCCTTTGTCCCTAAAGAGGGGCCGAGGGAGCCAGAGGCTGCTAGAGAGCGGGCACTCTGCGGGAGGTGCCGGGGGGTGGGGTGCGTTCTCAGCCTGATCTGTGGCCCCTGGGGTAAGTGGGATTTGGACCTCACCACTGTCCTCCCGCCCCACCTGGACCGTGTCCTCTGTGTGAACCAAAGTGGCCTCCTTCTCTGTCATACCCACACCCTAGGCCCGTGGTCCTGGGTGACCTTGACAAGTGGCCTAGTCTCTGGCTGTGTTAGCTTTTTTTTTTCTTTTTGCTGCTGTGATTAAAAACAATTGTAGAGGGGACAGTGGACGTGGGGCGCAGGGTGTCCCAGGTCCCAGTCCACAGATGGTGGCCCCACTCCTGGCCGAGGGGAGGCAGGACATCATGGAGGAAGAGTGTGGGGAGGGAGCAGCTCCCATGGGGACCAGGGAACAGGGACTCCACTCTCCAGAGACAAAGAGGGACCCCAAGCCACGGCCCCAGGGCCACCTCCTCCTCCACACCCCACCTGCCACCAGGGGCCACCAGGGGACCCCAGGGAGCCATTCCCTGCTGGGTTCAGGCCTCACACCCCTCACTCCTCCTCTGGACCTTCCTGCGTCGCCTCCCACAGGGGCTCTGGGGACCCCTCACAGTGACACCAGGACACTGGCTTCCAGTTTACTCATCTGTAGCATCAAGCAGAACCCCACCCCACCCCCGAGGGTACGAGGACCCAACAAGGAGCCGGTCCTGCAGCAGCTGTCCCTGAGTGCCGCCTGCCTGCGCACCCGGCTCTGTTCCGGGCCCCGAGGTTGTGGTATGCACAGGCCAAGGCCCCGCCTTCAGTGCCAATCGTAGTCGCAGAGAATATGAGTGGAGGAGGTGGCGGACAGGTGGGCGCAAGTCTGACAGTGTCTGCCCTCAGCCGCAGTGTGGTCATCGCCTGGCATCTTGATCGTGGCGGCAGGGATCACATCGGGTGCTCCACCACCTGTGTCCTCGTGCGCCTCTGAGTTGACTAGCCGCAGCATGGATTTAGACATGGCATCCCCAAGAGCTCCAGGTGAGCCCCTGCTAAACCCTTCCTCCTCTCCGTTGTGCTGGTCGGTCCTTTGGTCACAGCACCCCTATAATCCCAGCAGCTCTGGAGGCTGAGGCAGGAGGATCGCAAGGTGGAGGCCAGCCTCAGCCACTTAGCGAGGCCCTGAGCAGCTCAGCGAGACCCTGTCTCTAAATAAAATATTAAAATAGGCTGGGGACGGGGCTCAGGGGTTAAGCCCCCTGGGTTCAGTCCCCAGGACAAAAAAATCAGGGCTTTGTTGATGGTGGACAGATGGTGGGGAGTGCTGAGGCTGAACACAGACTCCCCAGCAACCTCAGGCTCGCCCGAGGGGGCGTTTCTTGAGGACTGGAGACTGTCAGCTTTTTGTTGCTGTGACTAAAGTCCCTGACAGGGACAACTTAGAGGAAGGAGAGTTCATTTGAGCTCCTGATGTCAGAGGTTCATGGTCAGCCATTGCTGTGGGCTCCAGGTGAGGCCGAGCATCATGGCCGAAAGGACCTGGTGGAGGGAAGCAGTGGGGATTGAGGGACACAGGTATCAGGGGTGCCACAAGGTGGTCAAGCTGGAAACCGAAGCCAGTTTTAAGTCCTGGAACAAAATCCCACAGAACCCAGTGAAAGATGGCAGCAGAACCCAGCAGGATGCGGTAGGGCCTGGGACTCGGGGTGCTGGGCACGGGAGCCCAGGGATGGTGAGCTGCAGACAGAGAGTGTTTTGTTTTTTGTCTTTTTAGGTCCCAGGGATTGAACCCAGGGGCACTTAACCACTGAGCCACGTCCCCGGCTCCTTTTATGTTTTATTTTGAGGCAGAGTCGCGCCGAGTTGCTCAGGGCCTCGCTAAGCTGCTGAGGCTGGCCTCCACCTTGTGATCCTCCTGCCTCAGCCTCCCAAGTCACTGGCATTCCACTGTGCCCAACCAGACAAGGATTTCTATGGGAATTTTTAAGTCTCACCCATCATTTCAGCCTTCAAAAAAGAGAAGGAAGGAGAATGAGCAGGAAGAGAAAGAAGAAACCATGTTACATAAACAAAGCAAATGTCACGGCCCAGAGGCTTCCCTGGGCTTTAAGCTGTGGTTGGGATGAACCCCTCGGGTTTGGGGGTCAGGGTAGGCCTGCGACCAGTTTTTTTGAGTTAGAACTCAGGACGGGGTGCGCTCTTGGACCAGCCCTCCGAGGCCTGTTGGTGACCCTTCGTTTGTCATCTCTGGTGCAGCCTGACACCAGCTGCCCCTTGTCTGTGGGGAGCGTCATAATCCTGACTCAAAGGCCCTGGCTGAACAGAGAAGCCCCCCCACGGGGCAGCCTCGACATGGCCATCAGCGCCCATCAGCAGGTGCCGCCCCCGGTGTCCCCTGCAGCCTGTAGCTGTGCCTGCTATTTTTAGCTCCTGGAACTCCATTAACCATATCCACCTCCTCGTGCCACTTGTCTGTATGTTTAATTATGTAAATGGCATTACAAATCACAGTGGCGCTCAAGTACATCGCGCCTCTCACGGCAAACCCAAGCAGGCTGGCGGGCCGGGCCCTCAGTGTAACGTCGGCACAGCGCAGGGGACGGCTTTCTTCCTGTGGGGAAGAGAGAATTTGGGGAAGTGCAGGTCTCGCATCAAGGTGTTCTCAGAGAGCAGATGTGGGATGGGGGTGCTCTCAGTAGCTGGCTTTTTTTTTTTTCCTTTTTTCCTTTCAACTTAAGACGTGGGTTTGGTGCACGCCTGCAATCCCAGGGGCTCGGGAGGCTGAGGCAGGAGGATCGCAAGGTGGAGGCCAGCCTCAGCCACTTAGCAAGGCCCTGAGCCACTCAGCGAGACCCTGTCTCTCAATAAAATAGAAAAAGGGGCTGGGGACGGGGCTCAGGGGTTAAGTACCCCTGGGTTCCATCCCCAGGACCAAAAAGAAAAAACAGATGTGGGTCTTGGGCCTCTGCTGAGTCAGTTCACCACTGATTCCTTTTGAAGCATCGTCTTTCATTCTCAGGCCACTAGGTCCGTGCTTAAGCAGGGAGGTCTGCACAGTCTTTGGACTGTAGGGGGGGAATCAGCGGGGCCCTCAGGACTGTCCCCTCGCAGGCCGCCGGCAGGAGACCCTGCCTTGACACTTCCCTGTTACCCCCAGCACTAACCCAGTGAGGGCAAGTCTCCTCCAGAAAGTCCTTCCTTCTGTCCACCCGTCAGCACTCCTTCCCCTGGGACTGGTCTGCGGTAACGTCATCAGTGAGCACGTTGGCCAGGGCGCCTGTGTTCTTGCCCTGCCCCTGCGCTGGCTCCCCCTGACCTGCCTTCTAGAACCTTCCACTCTGCTGCTTGCCCTCAGCCTCTCTAGCCACGGCCTCTCCTGCTGCCTGCTCATGACGGAGGTCAGCCTCCTGCTCTGTGGAGGGGTGCTTGCAGGTGGCCTTCCTGCCTGCCAGGTCCCGGGCGTCCCCAGGTCTCTCTCCGTCGTGGCCCAGTCATTGAGTGGTGGAGGGTGACCCGCAGAGGTCGTCGTTCCACCCGGGAATACGTGAGCGCAGGCCGAGCACAGCAGCGCTCTCCTGCCTGGCCACAAGAAGGTGACCACACCGTCCACGTGACACGTGAACCACGTCTGGCCTTCCCCCACGTCCCGGCCACATCCTGTGTGTTGTCTCTTAAAATCCCAGGGTTCAGGGAAGGAGGTGCGTCTCGTGGAGCCGTCTGTCTCCTTGGTGCTTTGTCCAGAGTCGCCTTGGCCTGGCTGAGTCCTCTGTGGCCTGTCGAGGCGTCCGACAGTAGATTGGGGCTGAATGCTTTAGTCAGGAGCATTCCTAATGGCGCCGCGCACCACTCTGTCTACCTACCAAGAACATGAAACGTGGCTCCCTGCTCCAGGGGCTGTCTGCTAGATTTCTTTTTTTCTTTTGTTGTTGGGGATTGAGCCCAGGGGCACTTGACCACTGAGCCCCATCCCAGCCCTTTTTAATATTTCATTTAGAGACAAGGTCTCACTGAGTTGCTTAGAGCCTTGTTAAGTTACTGAGGCTGGCCTCCACCTTGCGATCCTCCTGCCTCAGCCTCCTGATCCACTAGGATGACAGGCGTGTGCCACCGTGCCCAGCAAGGTTTCTGTGATGTGAAGATACCTTTCCCCTTGGAAATCGGTCAATAGGGCAGTGCTTTGAGACTGTGTGGTACCCTATTTCCAGATATTATTCCATCCCAAGACTTTCTTTCCGTTCATGATTCTTCGTGGTGACTCTTTCCTGGGACTGTCACCATTTTCTAGTGTGGGATTCGGTGGCACAGCGCTGGGCAGCTGCCACCACTGTCCACTCCCAGAGCACTCTCTTTGTTCCAGATGAGGCCGCTGTGTTCGTTCTCCCGTCCCCCGCCTCTGGCCACCACCCTTCTGCTCTGTCTCCATGAACTTGAGCTTCCGTACCTCAGAGGACGGTCCCTCTGGGACGGGTTTATTTCCCTTAACCTAATGCCTTCCAGTTCCTCCATCAGGTGGCGCGCATCACAATTTCCTTCCTTTTTAGACTTGAGTAATATTCTACTCTGTGTGAAGGCCACCTTTCACCCACCTGTTGGTGGTCATTTGGTCACAGGCCTCTGTCCAGAGCTGGGGGCTCCATCCCCAGCTCCACCAGGAAACGCAACAAGACAAACCCCAGACATCTCTGCAGGACCCTGCTTTCTGTTCTTGGCGTGTCCCTACCCAGAAGTGACAATGTGGGGACTTGCAGTCGCTTGGCTTTTGATAGCTGGAGGAGCCGCCTTATAGCTTTCCATAGCAGCCGCACCATTCCTGTCTTCCAGCACCTTCCAGGGTCTGGTTTTCTCTGAATCGCCACCAAAATCATCCTAAACCATGACAGCCGGCTGCCACCCGAGCAGGTAGGAGATGCTGTCTCTGGTTTGGCATTTTTCTAATGGCAAATGACGTGGCTCATCTTTTCCTGTGTTTATTGGCCGTTTGATCACTTTCCTTGGAGAAATGTCTTGTCTGGATTATTTGCCCATTTTCGAGGGGTTTTCTTTTTACTCTTAAGCTCCAGGAATTTTTTATTCTAGATAACTCTCTTACCAGTTTTATGGTGCGCAAACATTTTCTCTCATTCCACCTGTAGTCTTTTTACCTCGTTGATCATGAACTCCGACATTTAAAAAAATTTTAATTTGGGTGAAGTCCAACTCAACTCTTTTCTTTCTTTTTTCTTTTTTTTTTTTTGTTTATGTTTTTGATATCTGTCAAAAAAAAAAAATCACTCCCACACCTGGGCACAGTGACACACACCTGTCATCCCAGCAGCTCAGGAGGCTGAGGAAGGAGGATCGCAAGTTAGAGGCCAGCCTCAACAGCTCAGCGAGACCTTGTCTCTAAATAAAATCGAAAAAGGGCTGGGGACGGGGCTCAGGGGTTAAGAGCCCCTGGGTTCAGTCCCCAATACCAAGAAAAAAATCATTTGTCCTTAAATGTGTGGGTTTATTTCTGGACTCTTAAGTCCTATTAGCGTATATGCCTCTCCTTAAGGTAGTGCTGTAGGGTTTTGATCACTGTGGTTTGTAGCAGGTCTTGAACTTTTTTTGCACCCCTCACAGTTCCACGTGAACCTGAAGCTGGGCCCTGCGGTTTCTAGGGGAAAGCGGGCTGTTGGGGTGGGGGCTGGGTCTTCAGATTGCGTCTTCAGATGCCCTGGGTGGCCTGCATGTCCTAGGTCTGCCCTTACAAGGTGCCAGGAGCCAGGGC